AGCTAGAGAGTCCAAAATCAGATCCCTTCTGCATAGAAACCAATTCAGCTTCCAGGTTTCATTGCCAAAAAAGCTTCATTGAACAAGCTGAGGTTAGAAGCTGATTGGTTTCTATGCAGAAGGGAGTCTGATTTTGGACTCTCCAGTGTTTAGTAAATAAACCCTATGTGTCAATCGCTGTTCCCCATGAAGGCACCAGTCATTGTTCAGTCAGTGGTGGAATCATCTAAGAGCGCTAGCTTATCAGTATCAAGTGGGAGAGTGGAGTCCTTTAAAAACTCAGAGCTGTTTTTGTGGTAATCCCATGCTACTCCTCAATCTGCAAAAAAAAAAAAAGCACAAAAAAAAACATTCCCTGGATTATTGTCAAACAACCAGATAGATGGGAATGCTGTGTTTGGCATTAAATGTGAGGAAGGAATCTGTGCTGCTCAGCAGGTGCTTGCGGGTGTGCTACAAAAGAGGCATGGGAATCTTCATTTTTGGGTTTGTCGCTGCCAATTCTTTTAAACCATTCGCACCAGTTATAATTTGTTTAACATCACTACAGTTCACATGATTGCCAGCTCATGGGGTTTGTGCGTTCACATTATCCTAGAAACAGCATCATTAAACCTGTTCAACTGCCTATCTATTGATTCATGTATTGTTTTACAACTGCATTGTCATAATCCATGCTTTCAGTCTACCATGGAGTTACTTTCGGCCTTATTTTCTGTGCAATATAATAGAGAGGTAGCATATTAACTCTTCTAAATCACACAGTGTGTCAGTGGGGACCCGCGCAGCTTCAAGCGGAGTTCCAGTTGAAAAAAAAATAAAAATAAAAGTCAGCAGCTACAAAAACCTGTAGCTGCTGACTTTTAAAATACAGACACTTACCTGTCCCTCGGTTTCCAGCGGTGTACGTCACCAACCTTTCACCGGCTGTCTTCTCTCACCCCAGAGCCGGCCTCATCAGTGTGGTCACCCAGCTGTGACAGCTTTGCCGGCTTCACAGCCAGGTGCCCCACTGCGCACGCGCAAGATGCACTGCTCTTTGTGTGAATGGTCCCGTAGTCATTCTGGGACCTTTCACGTGTCCCAGAAGAACTACGGGGGGGGGGGGGGGGGGGGGGTAGTTTTTTTATGTTTTGGGGGGGGGTTTTTGCCCCTTTTTAGACCCCCCCCGCACATCCGACTTCAGATTTCCTTAGGTGATCGCTAGTTGGAAGTGGGAACGGGTACCTGTTAATTTTGGGTACCCGCTCTCCAAAGGTGCCAATCCTTGGGGGTGGGGGTTTTTTTGGGGGGGGGTTTTGGGGGGGTCATATCCAGTGGCTCCTGTGGGGGCAAGCCCTACATAGGCTTGATTGCTGAACTGTATATGATGTGTTGTAAACTACACAGTCCTGACCCCTGCACTTTATGCGCTATGTTATATGATGCATACTTTTGACACACACACTATATGCTGTGTTGTATGTTACATAGTCTTTATTTTGCATTCTATATGTGTCATGTTTCACATGACTGTCACATACCTTTAAGTGTTCTTTGTATTTTGTCTCTGCACCTCCCTTTCCTTTGGTTTAGTTCATGCTGTAAAGATAGCCCAACTGTTTTTCCCAGTAAGGTATTTCAGCTTCAAGCCTCACGTCATGAAGTAGATCACATTATGATCTTTTGACCTATCAGATGTTCATTGTAAGATTCTCTTAGTTTATGGAATAAACTTCACAAGATCTACAAGGTGTCATCTGATTGAGTCACTGCCTGTGTTATTCAACTAAGATTGGAGTTATCGCTATCTCATCACAACTGTAAGTTACAGAGATCACACTTTCAATGCTTAGATCGGAGAGACAGAACAGGCATTGTCAGGAATGGACTGGCCAGCAATGGTGGGACTTGCCTGCCTTATGGGCTGCAGTACCAGGGCTGGCCAGCGGGTGCTCCCAGCAATCAGAGACTCAACCTTGAAGCCAGCTAAACACCTGAAACTGCTTATACTGGTGTATTTAAGGGATGGCCAGACCTGCAGACTCTGCCTTGGTGTGTGTTTTTCCCGGGCCCTGTATCCTGTTCCTGCATCCTGTTCCTGTATCGTTGCTGACCCTGCCTGATCTGACCTCTGCTGACTTCTCCTGCTCTGACCCCGGCTCGTTCCTGACCATCCCTCTGCCTGACCCTCTGTACCACGCTGCCTGCTACCTGCTGAACCTGGCTTGTGACCCCGACCATTCTCCGCTTGCTCCCCCCTGTACCTACCTGCCCGATTGATATTGACCCGGCCTGCCTGACGACGCTTGCATTGTATGTACTGTCATCTGTGGGTGGTTGGTTTGGTTCGCTTGCACTGTGTTATGTTTTAGTATTGCACTGCGTTTATGTTTGTATTGTTAGTGTCAATAAATTATATTGTTTATAACATATCTGAAGTCTGCTTTTCCCTGCGTCAGTCACACACCTCTGGTCATACCCGGGAGCCCTGACAGGCATGTTGTACTTTGGACTTTCAGTAAGGTAACAGTGGATCGGTGTTGCTTGCAGAAGAGGTTAGAAATCCTATGCATGACATTATAAAAGTACCACAATTTATTTTACCAGTCATGTTATCTGTGCTAAAAGAAATGTGTATAATGCCAGCAGCCATCCCACCCCCTTTCCCATATACACCAGACTGGAGTTCCAGGATTATAGCTATATCAATTTTATTCAATTAGAAACACACAGTCAGGAGACAAAGTCATAGCACCATGCAATGTACACGTGCACAATCCAGCAGCGGAACGCAGGACAATGAATGCTCTGCAGGAGGCTGTGATGATCTGCAGGAATCACAAGTTGGAAGGAAGGTGCATTTTGCCATTATCGCTGGAAAAGATTTAAGAAAAATATTAGAAATGTTTTGTATTCTGCTTTTGCAACCAAATTGGGATTATACATACTCTATATTTGTTATAATTTCTGTAGTACTGCAACTCCCTCCTCACTGGCCTGCCTCGCCGCTGGCTATCCCCGCTTCAGTCGATCCTGAATATGGCAGCCAGACTCATTCACCGTTCCAACTGCTCCATCTCCGCCACCCCCCTCTGCCAATCCCTCAACTGGCTTCCAATTGCGCAACGGATCAAATTCAAAATCCTAACACTGACGTACAAAGCCGTCCACCATACTGCCCCGAACTACATCACCGACCTAATATCCAAGTACCACCCAGCACGCACACTCCGCTCCTCACAAGACCTCCTTCTCTCTAGTTCCCTGGTCTCCTCCTCCCATGCCCGCCTCCAGGACTTCTCCAGGGTGTCACCCATCCTCTGGAACTCCCTGCCCCAACCCATCAGATTATCACCTACTCTCCTCTCCTTTAGGCGCACCCTGAAAACCCATCTCTTCAGGGAAGCCTACCCCACCCCCTGCTAACTTCCTGACCTCCTCCACTCTTCCTACCACTCCATCCCCCACAGCTATCTCCTCCTGTACCAGTATCTCCTCCCTCCTAGATTGTAAGCTCGAAAGAGCAGGGCCCTCGATCCCCTCATGTTTTGCATTGTATTGTTATTGTTCTGTCACATGTTCTGTCCCCCTCTGTAATGTACAGCGCTGAGCGAACTATTGGCGCTTTATAAATACTGTATAATAATAATAATAATAGTATAACTTAAAAAAAAATGCTGCTTACTTTTTTACCTGCCTATACACTCACCGGCCACTTTATTAGGTACATCTGTTCAATTGCTTGTTAACACAAATTGCTAATCAGCCAATCACATGGCAGCAACTCAATGCATTTACGCATCTAGATGTAGTGAAGACGATTTGCTGAAGTTCAAACTGAGCATCAGAATGGGGAAGAAAGGGGATTGAAGTGACTTTGGACGTGGCATGGTTGTTGGTGTCAGATGGGCTGGTCTGAGCATTTCAAAAACTGCTGATCTACTGGGATTTTCACACACAACCATCTCTAGGGTTGTCAGAGAATGGTCCAAAAATTAGAAAATGTCAAGTGAGCTGCAATTGTGTGGACAGAAATGCATTGTTGATGTCAGATGTCAGAGGAGAATGGGCAGACTGGTTGCTGCGACATTCAGATGGTAGGTTCAGAATTTGAACACACAAGTAGCTGTTTGGGTCTTCTATGACCTGGTTCACACCTACAGTATGCATTTTTTTAATGCTTTTTGCAGAAACACACTGCAGTCCATTTAACACGGTTTCCTATGGGACAAGTTCACATCTATGCTTTTTTCAGCTGCTGGGCTTTTGGAAAAGGTTGAGAATTGTTTTTTAAGAGGCACTGCGATTTTGGTTCAATAGACTTTAATGGAGAAGCTGCAGAAAACGCATGTAGTGCATTTTTGATGCTTTTTTGCCACTTTTGCGTTTTGCATTTTTAATCTGCCCAGCAAGAAATTGGCCAAAAAAAGCATAACAAATGCAAAACACATCAAAAACACGTGTGAAAAAATGTAAAAAGCTTTGCAGAAACCTACAAAACGCAAAGTGCATAGGTGTGAACCAGGCCTAAGGTCCAACACATCCCATGCACACTGCACTGCAAGTTGATGTTTATGAACTTTTAGTTTTGTTTTTCAATAAAAGTAGGCTGGCATGCCCTTAAACCACAGTTCAGACTGATGCAAGCACATTCAGCCCAGGTTCACACTATGTGGTCTGGGACATTGCATGCAATTCGCACAGGAATCGCACCGCATTCTTGTGTGAATCATATGCAAATGTCTGTGCGGTTCAATTTGAGCCACAAAGGTGCAGGACCCTTCTTTAATCACTTCCAGTCTGGCCCATGTACTTAAACAGCCGGATGGGAGCAGTGCAGGAGCGGGTTGCCGTTTATAAACGGCGCCCGCATTCACAGCCTGTGCGGACACAGCAGAACACAGATCGCTGTACAAAACCTCTGTGTGAGGTCCCCATTCATGTGATCTCTGATTGGCCAATCAGTGATCACATGAATAGTAGTAAGCAAGATGGCACTTCCTGACATCATTGCTTACTACGTGTGAAATCTGTGAATGATCACAGAGGTCACCTGGTACAAGGCTATTCACAACAGCCTTGTACCATGTGACAAGCTGTGACAATCACAAGCTCTCACAATATTTCTGAATGGCTGCAAGAATGCAGCCAAAGAGAAGGAGAAATGATTGCTTTTACAGCCTTTATGGGTGAAAAAACAATCAGTGTAAAAAAAAAAAAAATATTCATCACCCCTCACAAGTAGTACAGTGTCATTATGGTGACACTGTACTGCTAGGGTGACAGTATGTTTAAAAAAACATAAATAATAATATAAAAATGTAAAAAAAGTTTTAAAAAAATTATAAATTTTGGTTCACATATAAAGAAAGTGCAGCGCTTGTACATTAAAACATGCAAAAATATCAAAGTGCAAGAATATGTCACTGCAAAACGCAGGTCGGGTATAGTTATACTACCCCTTATGAGTCTCAATATGTCACACAAATATAGTTCACAATCTCCCAGTGAGTTAGGTGAGGTGAAGGATCAGATGGATCCCTGTTGACACGTAGTGAAAATCAAAAGGTGATATGTGGTGATATCCAAAACTGATAAAAGATTGTGCACTCTCACCAGATGCACAACCAATATGCGCATGTAAGAGATAACCCCTCTTAAGGTATGGTTCCAGGATTCATCAAGGACAAGATCTGGTCAAACTCTGCGTAGTAGACCCTCCGCTGTCATGCATGGCTCTGTCCCCTATTCCACTTTATTCTGCCGATAATTGGAAGCTCACCAGATAAGAGAGTTGACCGCCGGGACCCCAGTGGTGCCGGAGGTGGTAAACGTCACTGTGCCGCAGTTCCTCTCTGACGCGTTTCGTGCAACCGCACTTACTCATAGGGGGTATGCTCTGGGCACAGGACGTTTGATAATGCGTATATATAAAGAAAAAACCGCGCTCGTTCAATAAAAACGTGCGCCATTTTGCAATAGACTTGTGTCTCCAAACATGCGCCATTTTGTTGAAGTCCGCATATGCGCGATCACAAAATATACGGGAACGCGTGAGCGTTGAATCCACCGCTTCGATCGCGCATGTGCGGGCGCCATTTTCCTAAAGTCCAGATATAATAGTGTCACCCGCCAAACAAGGGAACCTGACAACAAAGAAAAACAAAAACAAAAGATATTGAGTGAGATATCCTCACTACTAATAACCAGGGTAACCTATATAGGCACCCAGATATGTTATCCCAGACTGGTCATATAAATGTTATAACAATTTACATGTAGGTGATAACAATGCCATGTGTCAAATCATGGCAATCGTATAATAATATATTCTATTAAAATAGAACAACCTCAGTACGTCTATAATATTGGGATTATCAGTAAGGATGCTAAATTCAAAGCCATCCCTACACATATGATATTTATAAACAATTCTTGCCGCAACCCACCTTCAACATATAAACATACAAAAAGAGGTAGTCCTTGGTTGGAAAGGTGACACATAAATCAGAAAAACATATACATTATATAATCATCATTATTAAAATTACACTAAAACAAAATGCAATGATAATAAAAAACCTTGAATAATAATAATTTGAATATCAAATTAACATATGAATATAGTAAGAGCAGTATTAATTTTCTGGATTTAACGCTCATGAACCAGAACGGCGGCGGCGGGGTGGCAACACAATCTTTCTTTAAAGAAACGGACAGGAATAGTTACATTCCCACATTTAGTTGTCACCATCCAAACTGGCTTTCGAATATCCCGAAAGGTCAATTCCAGAGAATAAGGAGGAATTGTACCAATCTGGATACGTATTACCAACAAGCCAGTATTCTGAAATACAGATTCAAGGAGAAAGGTTACGATGAGTCCGCACTAAATTGCACTTTAGAAGAAGTCGCTAAACTTGACAGGAGATTATTATTGAATGGAGTGGCCAAATCACGCCCATCCAAAATATGCCCGTTTGTAACCACCTATTCGAACCAACATAAAACAGTAAACAGGATCATAAGGAATAATTGGAAGATTCTTAAGGCTGATCCTGTATTAGCACAGATCCTGCCCGATAAACCTGAAATCACGTTTAGAAGGGCACCCTCCTTACGTAATAAAATTGCCCCTAATGTGATTAATCCTCCCCGAAGTATTTCAATTTTTAATAATTTAATTGGTTTTTATCCTTGTAACAAGTGTGTGATCTGCACGTACAATGGGGATAGAAAAAGGAGAGTGGACAGTTTCATGTCCTCAACCACGGGTAAAAATTATAAAATCGATAACTTTATAACCTGCAACAGCAGGTACGTGGTTTATTTGCTCCAATGCCCATGCAAGAAGCAGTATATAGGCCGTACAACACGACGCCTAAGGGATCGTTTACGTGAACACGTCTATAACATCAAACGCGGATATAAGGAACATTCCCTCTCCAATCATTACCGTAGGTGTCACCACAGAGATCCATCATCTTTAACATTTACGGGAGTTGAAGTTGTACAATCCAATTGGAGAGGGACAAATAAAAAACGGGCCGTATCACAGATGGAATCAAGATGGATCTTTGAAATTGGTTCTATGCATCCCAAAGGACTCAATGTAGAAATGGATATAAACTGTTTTATAGATAATAGTTAAATATTTTATCCTTTTCAGCTAATAATCTATTTTTATTATTTTTTCCATATCTCCATTTTTTGGCTAAATAGATTTATAAACGCCCTAACTTGTTGTTTATTGGTTTTTGAGGTTGCCTTTAGGCCATTGCGAATTCTAATTTTAATTGCATATTATCTCACGAATTTTTTATAATATTCTTCATTATTTATGGATCCTCAGACTTTTATATTTTATAATCTATTTTATGGGTATTTTTATTATCATTGCATTTTGTTTTAGTGTAATTTTAATAATGATGATTATATAATGTATATGTTTTCTGATTTATGTGTCACCTTTCCAACCAAGGACTACCTCTTTTTGTATGTTTATATGTTGAAGGTGGGTTGCGGCAAGAATTTTTTATAAATATCATATGTGTAGGGATGGCTTTGAATTTAGCATCCTTACTGATAATCCCAATATTATAGACGTACTGAGGTTGTTCTATTTTAATAGAATATATTATTATACGATTGCCATGATTTGACACATGGCATTGTTATCACCTACATGTAAATTGTTATAACATTTATATGACCAGTCTGGGATAACATATCTGGGTGCCTATATAGGTTACCCTGGTTATTAGTAGTGAGGATATCTCACTCAATATCTTTTGTTTTTGTTTTTCTTTGTTGTCAGGTTCCCTTGTTTGGCGGTGACACTATTATATCTGGACTTTAGGAAAATGGCACCCGCACATGCGCGATCGAAGCGGTGGATTCAACGCTCACGCGTTCCCGTATATTTTGTGATCGCGCATATGCGGACTTCAACAAAATGGCGCATGTTTGGAGACACAAGTCTATTGCAAAATGGCGCACGTTTATTGAACGAGCGCGGTTTTTTCTTTATATATACGCATTATCAAACGTCCTGTGCCCAGAGCATACCCCCTATGAGTAAGTGCGGTTGCACGAAACGCGTCAGAGAGGAACTGCGGCACAGTGACGTTTACCACCTCCGGCACCACTGGGGTCCCGGCGGTCAACTCTCTTATCTGGTGAGCTTCCAATTATCGGCAGAATAAAGTGGAATAGGGGACAGAGCCATGCATGACAGCGGAGGGTCTACTACGCAGAGTTTGACCAGATCTTGTCCTTGATGAATCCTGGAACCATACCTTAAGAGGGGTTATCTCTTACATGCGCATATTGGTTGTGCATCTGGTGAGTGCACAATCTTTTATCAGTTTTGGATATCACCACATATCACCTTTTGATTTTCACTACGTGTCAACAGGGATCCATCTGATCCTTCACCTCACCTAACTCACTGGGAGATTGTGAACTATATTTGTGTGACATATTGAGACTCATAAGGGGTAGTATAACTATACCCGACCTGCGTTTTGCAGTGACATATTCTTGCACTTTGATATTTTTGCATGTTTTAATGTACAAGCGCTGCACTTTCTTTATATGTGAATCTTTGGAGGTTTTTTTGGTGCCTTTTGTGTTCAGCGGCTTCGTTTTTTAGCGCTCACTTATACCCATTGTTACAGTATTTGGTTATAAACTAATTTGGGTTATTTTGTTTACTAAAAAGATAACTGAATATATTTTGGCCAAGATTTATGAAGAAGATAACTGAATAAATTTTGACTAAGATTTATGATGAAATATTATTTATTTGCAAAATTTTATAAGAAAAACACTTTTTTTCTAAATTTTTGGACTTTTTCATTTATATAGCAAAAAAATAAAAAATCCCAGTGGTGAATAAATACCACCAAAATAAAGCTTTATCTGTCTCAAAAAATGCTAAAGAATTCATATGGGTACAGTGTTGCATGACCGCGCAATTGTCATTCAAAGTGTGACAGCACTGAAAGCTGAAAATTGGCCTAGACAGGAAGGGGGTGAAAGTGTCCAGACTTGAAGTGGTTAAATCCCACCCTGAATCACATCGCGTGGGTGTTCTCACCCATGTGATATGATATCTGGCAATCGTGTTTTGCGATTTGTTTTGGGGAGTCATTAATTTATCATTGACACCAGCACCAGATTGCATGAACGTGATGCGATTGCAATGTGGTGCAGCAAATGCACAGGATTTGCAGCGTTTCCTGCACCGCTTTGGTGTGAACCCGGGCTCAAAGTGCCTCTACCACATGAGCTTAATCACCTCGTATCACACAGACTGAAAAAAATGCCAACCGTCTGTAAAAGTGGTGTTTTTTAAAGCCCAATGTGCACGAGGCCTTATATTCTGTAGGCACATACATACATATAGAGACATAATGCGTAGGAGATGCAGAATCCGGGGTGTACACTCACCTCACTGGCACTCAATCAGATAACACACCGTGTTCGATTCCTCTGCAATGGCACAATAAGAAACACGTCATACCAATGTAATAAAGTGCAAAAATAAGGAAACAATTCTTGAATATTATCTTTTTTTTCCTGTTTTGTAAAAAAAAAAACCCATCACGCCTCCTATTCCATCTTTATGTTAGTTTATACATGGTTTCCTCATGGCCTAACATGGTCAACCATGTAAGGAAATGACTTCATTCATGGTTATTTTGTCAAAGTAGATATGAACCCAATCACCAAAATCTCATATGAGCTTTAACATACTAATGTCACTTCAAAAGTAATTTTCAATATTTTAAAACCGCTTCCCGACCGTCCCATAGCAGAACTACCGCTACAGGGCAGCAGGGCTGCGGAAAATCACACACACACACATATATATATATATATATATATACACATACATACATATATATATATATATATATATATATACATACATACATACATATATATATAATATATACATACATACATACATACATACATACACACACACATACATACATGATTTTGTATTTCTGGGTAAGGGGCGCGCTCACGTCCTACCTGCATCACCATCACTAGGTCCCGGCCAGAGATTCCCCGCCGGCGAACACTGACAGGGGAGAGGTCTGTATGTAAGCAATACAGATCTCTCCCCTGTCAGCACCAGCATGCTGCTTTGTATTGCTCTGCATAGTAGAGCAATACACAGCAACATGGTTACACAGTAAAACAGCACACAGTTAACCCTTTGATGGCCCCAGATGTTAACCCCTTCCTGCCCAGTGTCATTAGTACAGTGTCAGTGCTTTTTATTAGCACTGATCACTGTATTAGTGTCACTGGGGATGTCAGTGGCAGTTAGTCAGTCCCCCCCAGTGTTAGAATGCCTGCTGCAGTCCCTCTATAAGTCGCTGATCACTGCCAACACTAGTATAAAAAAAAAATAAAATAAAATTACAGTATATATACCGCCATTTGTAAACGCTATTACTTTCACGTAAACCAATTAATTTACAGGTATTGGGATTTTTTTTAGCAAAGACATGGAGCAGAATACATTTTGGCCTAAATTTATGACAAAATTTCATTTTTTAAATTTTTTTACTGGATATGTTTTATAGCAAAAAGTCAAAAAATATTGTTTTTTTTTCCAAAAATTGTCGGTCTTTTTTTTTTATAGTGCAAAAAATAAGAAAGTGCAGAGGCTTTCAAATGCCACCAAACGAAAGCTCCATTTGTGGGAAAAAGGGACAAATATGTCATTTGGTGCAGTGTTGCATGACCGCGAATTTTCAGTTAAAGTAACACAGTGCCGTAACGCAAAAAATGGCCTGGTCAGAAAGGGAGGTAAATCCTCTGGAGGGCAAGTGGTTACATCGCCAGCATTTATTGCATACTTATGATGGTCCAGCTTTCGTGCAATGCAAGTCTGCATATCTCATAGTTGATGGGCTTCTGGGGAAGCCGACAATCACTGTAGTAGTCATTAATACTACAGTGATCGCCCTGATCATCCGGCTCCTGTTGGCAGGGCTGTGGATAAGGGGGTACCACCAATCCTCCTGTACAGGGTCCAGGCCACCAGAGCAGCCCAGGCAGCTGGGTGAATTGGATGTGGGCAGGGAGGGTGATCAGCACAGTGGGGGGGGGGGTTTGAATTACTGGAACCGATGCCCTGTATGGCTCTCTCAGCAACATCTGAAAGCTGGATTCTTCTTCTCTCCCCCTCTCAAGAGCCATATAGGGGATTGGTTACTGATCACCCTCCCTGTGCACATCTACAGGTGAAACTTGAAAACTTAGAATATCGTGCAAAAGTTCATTTATTTCAGTAATGCAACTTAAAAGGTGAAATTAATATATGAGATAGACTCATTACATGCAAAGCAAGATAGTTCAAGCCGTGATTTGTCATAATTGTGATGATTATGGCTTACAGCTCATGAATACCCCAAATCCACAATCTCAGAAAATTAGAATATTGTGAAAAGGTGCAATATTATCGGCTCAAAGTGTCCCACTTTAATCAGCTAACTAAGCCATAACACCTGCAAAGGGTTCCTGAGTCTATAAATGGTCTCTCAGTCTGGTTCAGTAGGAATCACAATCATGGGAAAGACTGGTGACTTGACAGTTATGCAGAAAACCATCATTGACACCCCCCATAAGGAGGGAAAGCCTCAAAAGGTAATTGCAAAAGAAGTTGGATGTTCACAAAGTGCACAAGCAGCAGGGATGACCGCAGCCTGGAGACGATGTCAGGAAAAGGCCATTCAAAAGTGTTGGGGACTTTCACAAGGAGTGGACTGAGGCTGGAGTCAGTGCATCAAGAGCCACCACACACAGACGGATCCTGGACATGGGCTTCAAAAGTCGTATTCCTCTTGTCAAGCCGCTCCTGAACAACAAACAACGTCAGAAGCGTCTTACCTGGGCTAATGAAAAACAAACCTGGTCTGTGGCTCAGTGGTCCAAAGTCCTCTTTTCTGATGAGAGCAACTTTTGCATCTCATTTGGAAACCAAGGACCCAGAGTATGGAGGAAGAATGGAGAGACACACACTGCAAGATGCTTGAAGTCCAGTGTGACGTTTCCACAGTCTGTGTTGATTTGGGGAGCCATGTCATCTGCTGGTGTTGGTCCACTGTGCTTCATTAAGTCCAGGGTCAAGGCAGCCTGTCTAACAGGAGATTTTGGAGCACTTCATGCTTCCTTCCGCAGACGAGCCTTATGGGTTTGCTGACTTCATTTTCCAGCAGGACTTGGCACCTGCCCACACTGCCAAAAGCACCAAAACCTGGTTCAATGACCGTGGGATTACTGTGCTTGATTGGCCAGCAAACTCGCCTGACCTGAACCCCATACAGAATCTATGGGGCATTGCCAAGAGATGAGATGAGAGACATGAGAACCGAACAATGCAGAAGAGCTGAAAGGCCGCTATGGAAGCATCCTGGTCTTCCATAACACCTCAGCAGTGCCACAGGCTGATAGCTTCCATGCCACCGCTGCATTGAGGCAGTAATTGCTGCAAAAGGGGCCCAAACCAAGTACTGAGTATATATGCATGCTTATACTTTTCGGAGGTCCGATATTGTTCCATGTACAATCCTTGTTTTATTGATTGCATGTAATATTCTAATTTTTTGAGATTGTGGATTTGGGTTTTCATGAGCTGTAAGCCATAATCATCACAATTATGACAAATCACGGCTTGAACTATCTTGCTTTGCATGTAATGATTTATCTCATATATTAGTTTTCACCTTTTAAGTTGCATTACTGAAATAAATTAACTTTTGCACGATATTCTAATTTTCTGAGTTTCACCTGTATTTTCACCCAGCTGCCAGGGCCCCCACAGTTCCATCTTCCCCTTCTCTCCTTCCCACTGGCAGCTGCAAACTACAATAGAATCCTTCAGGATGGAGAGTGGGGGAAGAGCCTGATAAATATGTCACATTAACTAGCCCCTTCCTTTCCTGAATGAACATATTGGTACTGATCACCAACTCTGTTTATTCATAACTGAAAGCATAGTAAACTGTTTTTTTTTTTTTATGTGTTTTTTTTTTAAGGGGACCCTGTCAGGTTGGCTGTATGGGGCCTGTGATTTCTAACAGCAGCCCTGCCTGTTGGTTTCTATATGAGCATATTGTTCTCTGCCCACTTACCACAGTAGGTTGCTCAGTCAGCACTGCCACCATTCACAATGTGAGGTGCAGCGTGGTGCGACAGCAGTGAACATGCAGAGTCCAGTTGCACAAACAGAACTGTATTGACTTTAAAGTTTAGCAAACTGTGGGAAGACAACCTGACTGGGCACACTCATGGAATGTTGCGGCGAAGAGTGAAACAGTAGGTCTTGGGTGCATCGACAGCGTCTGTCTCGAGGAATGGAATGGCCAGGACCAACCCAATGTAGAGGCATTCAAGAAAGATAATTTGTCCATACTCTTTCGCTACTCATCTGAAACCTCTCCCTGCCACTAATATTGTCCCTGACAGATAGTTCCTGTCCCACTACTAATCACAACACCAAGCATATTATAAGGGGTCTCAAATAAACTCTGCCTGACCAAGATGGCCACGGCTTAGTCATGGTGGATCATCTAGCATTCAATCTAATAGCAAAGTGACCCAAAAACCAAGAAACCAGTCCCGCTACTCCCTTACATAACTACATTACGGTTGCAATGCACCCACATACTCAAAATAGATTATACCTGCTTACAATAGTACTCCATAAACATTTCAGGAATTACAAAAACATTCTTTGTCAACTGGGCATTGTGAATGCCTAACACCTCCTCCCTTCACTTCATCCAAATTACGATGATCACATTACAATCACAACTGGGGGGGGACTGTCGTATCGCTGTACTATTATTCCCCTCCTAATACCCCATTTAACTAAACAATACTAAGCCTGGGGGTTATTGTGGGAAATTCCATTTAATATACACTCATTCCAATATCACTGTTAGATTTCTCAGAGTTAAACCCACTCATGGCTCCATGGGAGGAGGCTTGGTCAAGGGCATTCCCAACTCTGTAAATGAGTCATTAATCAGAAACTAATATTTAAAAAGACATAAAAACCATTTAGTAATAGTTTTAAATCGACCCCAAATTTATATTATCCCACAATAAATAAAATTATATCACTTATTACCATCTAATTCGACCTCCATATTGTACCGTATCAAATTATCCACTATTTATCTACATATATACCCACTATTTTATAATAATAAACTTCTCTCTAACTATAACGTATCCTCATTTAGTTTTATTCTAAATTTATTCATCCATTATCACTAAAGTTATATGTCACCACCTCATTTATCTACCTTCTCAATCTAATCTATCCCCTACTAGTTAACTACCTCCCCATTAAAATTTAAAATCCCCTATAGCAAATCTCTCCCCATACCAAGATTTAAATCCAACACACTTTTAATTCTCAAATTAAGAATCCCCCCCATACTACCAAATGTCAATTTAAGCATTATATATATGCATCCCAATTATACACCCATTACCTAGAAATCATTCCCATCATTTCTCTAAATATTGGAAACTTCCTTCTTATTCTCATTCAACATTGTATATACACATCCAAAAAAACAATATATCCTTATTTTCACCCATCTCCCATCTAATTGAAACTCATCATTCATAATACCTTTATCATAATTTTCATAACAACTAAATTTATTAACCAACCTTCACTATCCCCTGCATCAAAATTCCTCTATCCCCTTACCGTGAATAATGCATATTTAAATATATCAATTAATCCCCATTAAATTATATTAATATTTTTCCCCAAATTCTTCCATAAATTATTATTCATTTCAGGGGTGGGGGATCAGGATGGGGTTAAGGGGGGTATAATCTTATATCTTTGTAGACTTTTCCAGGGATCAGGGGGGATCTTATTATGTTCATATACAATGAGTCTTAGTCAAATCAATCCAAGAATCAATCCCATGGTCACTGTTGGCAACCATCAGCAACTCGAAAACCAGCCATGGGAAAATGGCAATGGCCATGCCCTCCCTAGATTGTAAGCTCCCAGGATCAGGGCCCTCCTTTCCCCGCTTGTATTGAACTGTAATTGCTGCTGTATTGTCTCCTGTTATATTGTAAAGCGCTGAGCAAACTGTTGCGCTATA